GAAATTCACAAACTACCTTAATTCATTCAACATGTTACAGTTTCTGCTATGTGCTGGACACTGTGCTGGACATTTCAGATACAAATATGAATAAGAGACATATTCTTCCCTCCAGAAGCCCACAGACTGCTTGGGAATATAAATATGCAAACAGATAATGACCACCCATTGTGGAAAGTTCACGGTACATTGCAATGACCTTTGCCTGGCTGGTTTGAATCTGATGGGAAGTGCATGGCATAATGTGAAGTGTATCTGATGACTCCTGCCAAAAATACACCCTCCTCTCTCCACCCTCTCCCACCACAGTAACAGTTTCTGAAATTCCATCCAGAGTAGTTTGTGCTAGCAATTTAAAAAAAAAAAAAATCAACCTGGGCTGGAAAGGCTGTCATCCACCTCTCAGTAAATTAGCTTAATAAACCTGTTTTTCTAACATGTAGCTGAAATCTGCCACATGAGGAGGATGGTGGTTTTGAGAGACAAGGAAAAGAAATGAGAACTAATTTGGAAGATCCAGTGCCACAGCCAAAGAGAATGAAGGGAAAGGACACCTAAGGCAGGACAGGGTCTCAGAAAAGAAAGGGAAAATGCAAGGTCAAAATCTTCAGACACAAGAATCCATGAACTTTCTTTTTTCTTTTTTTTTTTTTTTTGAGGAGGATTAGCCCTGAGCTAACATCTGCTGCCAATCCTCCTCTTTTTTGCTGAGGAAGACTGGCCCTGAGCTAACATCCATGCCCATCTTCCTCTGCTTTATATGTGGGACGCCTGCCACAGCATGGCTTGACAAGCGGTGCCATGTCGGCACCCAAGATCTGAACTGGCGAACCCTGGGCTGCCAACAAGCGGAACGTGCGAACTTAACCGCTGCGCCACCAGGCCGGCCCCCGTTAACTTTCTAATACTTTCAGAGGATGAACCTACTTTCAAATGGAAGCTGCCTCCAGAATGTTCACTCACTTCAAAGTTCTCCCTAGGGCTGGCCCCTCCTCCTTTATCACCGGAGGGACTAAGAGACCCCAAAAGGGGTCTCTGCTACCCTTTCTCTAAAGCATGGCTGCCATGTCACTTAAATGCTCTGCTGCCTAATCTCAGCACAATCATTCTGCTTTCCTGGAGTGTCTGGGTGGTCACAGTTGTGGGGGGTGGGGGGGTGGCGATGAACAGAAGGGCGTTTGATATGACCATTTAACAGAGAAAGAGGAAGGAAGATATGGACGAATAAAGATTCATTCAAGGGAAGGCAGACTTACAAAGGGGAAGAGAACTAGAAAAAGATCATCCTTTACTTCATGAATGCCCCCAAATTTACTCAGTTATCAATTATTTTCTTCTATTCACTTGTTTGACTACTGTTCACAGCTCTTTATCTGTTCTTTGTCTTAAAACTCCAAATACACACTTTATCTTTAAACCTCAGATTTCCCCTTTCACTTATTGGCCGTTGACAGTATTAAAAGAAAAATTTTCAATAGTTTTTAAATTGCGTTTTCTGTGATTTGGTTCCTTTAGATTCTAAACATTGTGGGTAAAACCAGATTAAAGGTAGCGATTGCAAGGTCAAAATCTTCAGGCACAAAAAGCCATTAACTTTCTAATACTTTCAGAAGATGAGCTTAATTTCAAATGAAAGCTACTTCCAGAATATACTGTTAAACATATTCTGGATTTAATTTGTTTTGGCGAACATTGTGCAGAAATTCACAGAAAATTTCACTGAACAAAAAGTAAATTGCCCATGCAGCAAAAAATATTTTTAGATAGTGTTAAATGACTCCTAATGGATGATGGCCCTTGGAAGAAAAAACAGCAAACAAACAAAGTATAGGAATGATGGATGAGTTAGAAATTGCAGTTCTGGGTACTCCTCTCCATTAAAGAGACTATTGACATTGAATTTGGTCGGTTGTGGTTAACACAGTTGATCTGAAGGCCCTCTTGAGATAAACCCTGAAACGCCACAGTTAAATCTCTATACATTTTATTGTGAAAAAAATAAAACAGATTTTTTCTTCAAAGTATTAAAAACCAAAATTACCATTATTAATGAAGTACTAGAAGGTAAAAATGTTTTCCTCTTTGAGCTATATCTTTTAGTGGCTGTCATCCCTTTCATTCATTACACATTTTTCTTATTCTGGCCCAAACAGCATCAATACAAATAAGATAAAGTCTTCCTAAAGCATCCTTTATTTGTATGAATCCCTAAATGCCAAATTTCACTGCCTATATAGTGGGAAAATAACCAATTGCTTTGTCCACTGAATCACCTTACTGAACAGGTCTTAAGGAAAATATTTTCACACGCCACTCTCAAACTTGTTATTATTAGAAAATTTTTAAATACACGTAAACCCTCACACTGCCTAATTCTCTCTCACCAAACCAACTGTGATATAGATAAAAAGGAATAACTTCGGTTAATTTTCCTACAAATGAAAAAGACAGATAAGTTGCAAATTATGCATGATTTTTCATCACAAGTAAGCTGGGCAGAAGCATCTACATTACTCAAAGTTGAGGAATGGTCAATGGCAATCTCCCTCTATGCTGGAACTTCAATGCCTTTTCTTCCTCTTGGCTCTCTCTTTCAAGATCTCATCTCATCTCCTTGGATCCTGTCATCATCACTCCAGTCCACAGACCTTTAGAGTCTTGTGACTTTCCATCCTTCGAGATCCAGCTCAGGAATCTCCTCCATGAAGCCTTCCCAGATTACCCAGGGCACCACGATTTCGAAGTACCTGGTGCTTACGCCACTAACCTATGGCTGGGTGGCATTAGTTGGGTAATATTCAAGCATTCTATGGACCACTTGTCACAGATGCTGTTCAAGCACTGAATGATGAATTTCGATTAGACGTCCTAGAACCTGATTATCATTTTTTTTCACTTATACTCCCAACTAGACCATGAACTTCTTTTAACGCAGTTATCGTCATGTTATTCATCCTCTTTACATCCCTGCTCTGCCCATTTAATAGCATTTGTTGATTATTTACACGAGGGCTCAGGTTCGGGTTATTTGAGCCACTACAGTTACACGGGTGGACGACAAGGGTGGTCGCAACCATTTGGACAGAAGGAAAGCTCTCCCCTGAATTGAGAAATCATTTTTCAGTGATCTGGGTAAGAGGCCTCTCTCTGAGACTGGAAACGGGAACCAGGAGTCCAAAAACACAGGACTTGGGCTCTCTCGATTTTAACGGTGGCAGCGTCACGAAGACAGGTCCCTGGTGGTGTTGGCCAATGGCATTACCAGACGGTGGCAATCAGAAAGAAAGGACCGCTGGGAAGATGCCCTTAGACTACAGGCTGAACTCCCCAAATGCCTGGGCCTGGGACAGGAGCCGTGTCCCTGAGTTCAAGCCGACTATGAGAGGATCAGAAATCGGTATTCTGTAAGCTTTTTTAAAAAAATTCTTTTGACAGCCTCCAAATCTCCGTTTTGTTTTCTACATGTATTACATAAAGTTGTTTTGAAACTCCAATCTATCTCAACTCTGTGAAGGGAAACAAATTATAGGTTTTGCCTTTGCCGGAGTAACCACGGGGCCAAAAGAACACGGCAGGGCAACATCCAACCAAGTTAAAAACACCTTAGGAAACAGGGAAATCTGGGGGAAGCGTGGAGGCCACCTGCTCAGCTCTAAACCCTGGAAGATCTGGAGTGTTTAACCAAGAAGGGCAGCATTTTAAAACAGATCAACATCGCATTGCTTGGCATAAGTACCATTTCTCACACTAAAATACAAAAGCACTCTTGCATAAAAATTAAAAGTGTATTATTTGCCAAAATTCAAAGAATACATGCTATACATTCTCTAAAGTACAGAGTATTAAGTAAAGATTATCAATTTTTTTTATGAATAATAAGTTTTCCCCTTGACAGTATAAACAAGGTCTGTTTTCCCAATTACTTTTATATAGAATGCAAACAGTATTCTTTCATCATAAAAGTAATGTTGAAACTCATCTAAAAGATTGTGAGGTTACTATAGTTTCTCTGGATGGACCTTTTTTCTTTTCTTTTCTTTTCTTTTTGGTGAGGAAGATTGGCCCTGAGCTAACATCTATTGCTAAGCTTCCTCTTTTTGCTTGAGGAAGATTGTCACTGAGCTAACATCTGTGCCCATCTTCCTCTATTTTATGTGGGACACCACCACAGTATGGCTGGATGAGCAGTGCTAGATCCACTCCTGGGATCCGACCCTGTGAACCCCGGGCCGCCAAAGCAGAGCACACAAACTTAACCACTACACCACCAGGCTGGCCCCTGGATAGACTTTTTTGACAAAATTTGTCTTATGTATTGTGAAATAGCTTTTCTGTTGTGTGAACTATTGTTAAAACAATGCAAATAACAAACTATTTTAGAATTAAATTATCTAGAAATTTCCTCACTATTGTCCCAATAACGTAAAATATATTAATACCTAGTAAATTCAAATAAATCACATACTTAGAAGTTATATATTTATTACATGTAAGTTTATATTACAAGTTAAATAAATTATATGCTTAAAATTTTTAGTTATGCATTCTTAAATTAATCTTAAATATAAATTCTCAAGATAAATTTATTAACATTTCAGTGCTTCGCATCTTTAAACACATGAAATCCTCCTTCAGAAGCAACAGATTCGTGGTGCAAATCTTAGGTGAAATTTGCTGAAATTTCTTGAGATATTCACATAATTTTTTTTTTGGAAGATTAGCCCTGAGCTAACTGCTGCCAATCCTCCTCTTTTTGCTGAGGAAGACTGGCCCTCAGCTAACATCCATGCCCATCTTTCTCTACTTTACATGTGGGACGCCTGCCACAGCATGGCTTGACAAGTGGTGCTATGTCTGCACCCAGGATCTGAACCGGCGAACCCTGGGCCATCGAAGCAGAACGTGTGCACTTAACCACCGCGCCACCAGGCCGGCCCTGTCATATAATTTTTAAACCCACTGGTTTTGAAGTTAGACACAAACAAATCCGAAAGACTGGATCTCGTTTCTCACGTCTACTTCAAGATTACCTATAAAGATTTACTTGAAAGCATAGATTTTTAAAAATATAACATCAATGTGAAATTTGGGGTAACTACAGACGTGTCACTTAATGACAGGGAAATATTCTGAGAAACGCATCGTCAGGCAATTTCATCGTTGTGCGAACATCATAGAGTGCACTTACGCACACCTAGATGGTACAGCCCACCATACATCTAGGCTCTATGGTACTGATCTTACGGTCCCACTGTCGTCTGTGCACTCAGTTGTTGACCAAGAAGTCGTTACGTGGCACATAACTGTGTTTTCCCTGGAACCCTATAGAGTAGATTTCTTCCCTCCAGAGGAAGAAAAATTATTAATTTTAGAAATTTCACTCAACATATTTTTTCAAGAAGCCAAATACTTTGTATATTTTGTATGTCTAGGAAATGGGGTGCTTTAGTCAACAGAAATATGCTCAAAACTAAAAACCATTAACTAAAAACAACTTAGTATAAAAGTAGAAGACATCAATAAAATATATTCTATACAGGACGCACTGATCATACACTGTGTTTTTTTGATGATATAAAATATACTTACAGAACTTTAGTATCAGTGTAACAATAAATTATTATACAGTATTTTGGGGGGGAAAGTCTGGCTATTTGTTCTTCTCCTTGACTGAATTCTGTATAAACAGAAATTTACTATAAGCACTATTTTCAGTATAAAAGGTAATCTGACCCAAAAGTATTTAGAAGATAACCTGAGATTTTAGAAGACAGACGTATACAACCCAAACAGGGGGTCCCTAAATCAATAGGCATTAAAATATTAGACTAGAAGTAGTCATAATTATAAAATGCCATTTGGCCACTGTTATTGGTACGAACCAAAGTATTCTAAAGAAGTGAAAATATTAGAGAAGTAATACTTTCAGACTAGAACGAAAAAAAAGGAGGCTTGAATAAGATTTAAAGGACTCCTTGATAATTAAGAAACAACTGGGTCTATGGAATAGTAATTCATCAAAGTGGAGCGCATAACCGGTTAGTAGAGCATTTCATCTGCTGGCAAGCCACTGCACATAAAGATAGAAAATTAGCCACTTTCAGGGGGCCACTGGCTTCTCATTTCTCAGGGGGCCTTTCCGCTGAGTTGGCCTCCTTTACATGAAGGAAGGCGAAGGCGGACTTCAATGTGCCGTCCCCACTCTGTTGTGAAAAGCAGAGGAAGGTGGCCCAGAGGAAACCACAGAGTCCGGTGTACGCTGTTCTCCAGTGCACGGGAACGAGGCTGAAGTTGACCAGCTACAACAGGGAGAGAGTCTGTTAGGGATTGCGTAACCCAAAGCCGTGAGCTAGCATCTGAGTAGTCTGGAACTCACCTGTACAAAGGGCCAGTACATCAGTCCAGTCTGGAAGAAAGAAAAACTTTATTAGGACGCCTTTTAATCACACATAACAATCCCACTGTTCATTCTATAAAAGAGTAAGAAATACCAGGCAGAGAAAGTGTGGAGGTGGTATTACGTTTCAGACTAAGCCGATTAAATTAAACTACTTAAGGTCTCTCGAATAGAAGAGGGTGAGGAGTTGTGGGAAAAGCTGTTAGGTACAAGATTTCTTCTTCTTCTTTTTTTTTGGTGAGGAAGATTTCCCCTGAGCTAACATTTGTGCCAATCTTCCTCTTTTTATGTGGGACGCTCCCACAGCATGGCTTGATGAGCAGTGCTAGGTCCATGCCTGGGATCCGAACCTGCGAACCCTGGGCTGCCAAAGTGGAGCACACAAACTCGACCACAACGCCACTACACCATTCCTTAGGGAATGATTTCCTAATAAAAATTCAAACTATTTCATGCTATAGAATAAGTTTAGCTGACATTTTTGTGTATTACAAAATATTTCAAGATAGATTTATTTTAACAGGATTTAACCTGTACATTCTGACAAAAGGGTCATCATTATGGAAGTTTTTTAAAAGATAAAGGTCTTGGTATGTAAATTATATCTAAAAAAAAAAAAAGCCAAGTTACTGGTTGAAAACTTCAGCCTTTTACGTCCATAATAAGAACTGGTTACAAAATGTATACAGCATAGACTTTTCCCCATGTGTTTACTATTAAATCCTTAAGTCCAAGATTTTTAAGAATTCATTCATAGGCAGCGATCCTAAGAAAATAAGTGGGCAAGTAGCCAAATATAAATATGCAGAGTTATTTAGAATAATGACAATTTTGAAATAAGCATGTGTCCTATAAGCAGAAAAAGTTGTCAAAATTTAGGACATCCATTCAATGGAATACTATGCAGCTGTTAAAAATAGTAATATCCCTTTCTATGTACTGATGTAGAAAATTCATGCTATTTCATAAGTGAGAAAAGCAGCATACAGAATATTATAATATAATATGACTATATTTTACAAATATTTATATTTGTACACACACATCTATGCATATACTTTCTGAAGTGATAAAACAAGCAAAAAAAAAGCTAGAAGTTTTCAAAACAGTCCTTAAAAATGGGATTACACTGGTAATATAAAAGTGGTACTATTTTCCTTTTTTTACTAATTTTTATTTTCTGAAGTTTTGACAATATTTGCAATAAAAGCTATTTGAAGTCTATAGCCATGTAAGAATTTACTGCTTTAGCAAAAACAATGAGAAGACTGAACCCACGGCTCTACTTCATACAGCAATTTTTTCTTCTAGAATGTAGCACCAGCTCTTGCACAGATCTTGGTTTCCCATACCATCCCCCACTAAAAGGAAAAAGGACTCCTCAGAGAAATGGCTGATTCCAGGGGCCGGGGCAGGGCAGGGACAAGGGACAAGGTGAGTCTGGAACATCTTGTTATGACAGAAAGTAAGGAAGTGGTTTAAAAAAAAAAAAAAAAAGATGGAGGATGTCACAAGGACACAGGAACCAGCTTGAAGGGGCTGTCACTGGCCAAATCTGGGACGCCTGAGCACCAAAAATAATGAAACACAGTCACGAATTAAAAACCATTGAAAAAACGGGACTCTCTAAGTCTATACTGATAATAAGCAGAAAAATTAGTAAATCAATAACTGAGAGGGAAGAGCGGGCTCTGGCTTCCAGGAGAATGTGGGTGGGTCATCCCAGATTGTCCTTGCCCATGACCCCTACTTCCAATCAATCATCAAGCTCTACCAACACTTTCTCCGAAATATTTCTCCAGTCATTCCTATTCCCACTGCTTCATTATTCCTCATGTGAACTTGGGTACCATAACCCGCTAACTGCTTTCCCTTGCCCCTATTACTGAACTTCAAGATCCTTGACACGGCGTTCCACACCCTCTGAGATCCAAACTCATTTCCAGTTGCTCCTCAATTCATACTTCATCGTTTATGAATAGCAAACCGCTGTGGTTTCTCCCCTACAGTCATACCACAGTGTTGCATGCTTTCCTGACTCTGCTCATGCTCCCTCTGCCCGGGAACGCCCTACCCCCAAGCATCTACCTAACTCCTCTGAGTTCTTTAAGACTCTGCTCAGGCATCATCACCCCAGGAAACCCTCCTTCACACCCACTCATTTGCTGTAGGACCAGCACATACTCAGAGCATTGCTTATAGCATTAAGGTTAATGCCTGTCTATTTACTTATCTATTACCCCACTATACTGTAAGTCCCTTAAGGACAGTATCTGTGTTTTATATATATATATATATATATTTTTTTTTTTTTTTTTTTGCATCTTCCACTAACACCTAGCACAGTGCTTAGCAGATAGTTTATTATGGGAGATCTTCAGGAAAATTCCCTGATGGCTCTGGGCTTCAGACTGCTGGTACCCTCTTTCTTCTCATGGGCGTAGATGAGACCAACTCATTTGTAAGCACTGTTTTTTAAAAAGGTGTGCAAAGGTCCCCATGTTTCTACCCAAAAAAGGTAGCCTGTGCGTATTTATTAAGGGAGGAAAATCTCAAACATCCGCACGTCTCTGCTTAAAGCCCCTTTTTCTCACAATCCTGCTTGCTCTTTTCATAACTGTTAGACGTACATATGTCCATAAGATCTATGACATAATGGGAAAACTTGTTCCTTTTTCCAAAATGAAGCAGAAGAAAATCACATTCGGATGTCACCATGGGCCCACAATTTCTCCCCCAAGAGAAGTACCAAGCGTTCTGAATACTCTTCCCCCTTGAAGGAAGAAGGAACTGTCCCCAAGGATACCAGCTCAGGAGAAGTGTGTGGCTTCAACTCTCCCTATCATCTGCCTCCAACCATCAAGTGGGTGATGCCAGTTCTGGAGCTTGGTATCTTTCAATAGAAGATGCTAGAAGCATTGTGGGCCTGTGTATATTCTGGAATCCTGAAAATTCACCTCCGTGTGATTTAATAGAATCAAACATGCTCTAGGTCAGAGATGGAAAACATTCTGATTTTGCCAGGCCTTAAAGACACTGCTCAATAATCTACATTGAATAAATGAATGAATGTTTGTTGGGCTGAATTGTATATATTTGTACTGAGCAAAAAGTACAACAGGTTACTTGTTTCAGGCCTGGGAATAACCCTGAGAAACATGATCCTTTGTGATGTTAAGATGGTTCTTTCACAGGGGCTCAGCAGAATGCACACCTGGAAACACTGGCTCGGAATGCGGGAATGGTTCCCAAGCCACTCACATTCTACTATTCCCATTTTGCAATAACCTCTTTGGCCCCAAAATTCACTCAATAAATTGTGATCACTAATAAGAGCAAATATAAGATCAGAAATTATTGTGAACATTGACTAAAATTCAGAAACACTTACGTATAGACACTCTTAAAGCTTCTTCTCATTCATTAATCAAATTGAAGATCTCTCTGTCAAAATATTATATCCTTGTGCCAACCAAGTGGAGCCTTCATTAAGAATACTTTTATTAAAATGTATTTAATGTTAAAAATATACAAAAGAGCTTGGTTGCATTTTCAAAAGTCTGTCTTACCTTATATGTATTCCAGAATTTCTGTTTCAGGTCCAAAAATATGTCATCCTCTCCTTGGAGAATACTCATACCTATTTGCAAAAACACACACCCAAAGAATTTTAGAAGATTGAGTAGGTCTAACAGTTCATGTTCAAGTTTCTGTTCCAATATGCAAAGCACCACTATCACTCACTCAATATGTCCCCTCCCAGCCAACAGCGAAAACAGAACACAATCTCCATTCTAAAACCAAATCAATTTTGAATATACAACTACGTACTGGGGGGCTTTGGGGAGAAGAAGAAGAAAAATAAATAAATACATAAAACTAGATAAATTTTAAAGGAATGATAAATATGAAGTGAGACCAGCAGGGTATAAAAACTATAGCAAAATGATTGAAAAAAGAAAAAAACCTGTAAGAGAATTTACAAAAACAGTAGTGTCCGAATAGTAGTCCTATTGGTAACTTTTCTTCTCTCCCTTCTAAACTTTTTGTGAAATGTTTAAAATTTTAAGAATTTAATTTCCTTCTTTTACAAAAAGGCTGATGGACCCTGGGTATTCTGACAACTATGTATTTCCCATCAGACAAAGAGGTTTTCTCATCAGAATTTGAAAGCAGAATACCAACTCAGCCTTCCTAAAAACATTTTGAAAACTTTTGATGCTCAACGACACTGAAAAGAAATTGAGGGAGCAAGGACAAACAGGAGAACGAAACCCTTCTAGCTTAGGAAGGCTGTAAAAATGAGGGTGCTTTAAAAATTCTCCTCCCACTCCCATTAGGAAGAAGGGGAAATAAGATCTTTTTAGTCAGTTGAAGGGGATTCTCAGAATTCATAAGAAAACCCTGTTGAATATGGGCAATACCGCATTCCACTTACGCAATATTAATTGTTAAGCTTTCATTCGACCTCCCGTAACCATGGGCTGAGGACGGTAGAGTTACAGAGGAGGAAAAACAGCTCAGGGAGGTTAACAGCGGTCCAGATCCAACCCAGGTGTGGAGCCAGACCCTAGCTCCCCAAGGGGGCCCAGCACAAGGAACCATCTGATACAGGCAATTTCCAAGTCGGAAGTGCCTTGAACACACATCCAATCCAACCCTCCCAACTTCCCCCCTTCATTTTAACGTGAAGAAAAGGAAACTGGGCCGGAAATCTAAAAAGCAAAACAGAGAAGCAAGCAGGGCAGGAATCTGCTTCAGGGGCCCGGGGCTCGAACCACAGGCCTTCCTGTGACTGTGGCATCTTTCTGGTTTCTGGCATCCCGACAACACTCCAGATGAAGAACATGGCATGGATCGTACTGTCTTTGGACAAGTCACTTCACTCCTTTGAGCCCCAGTTTCCTCATCTGTAACATGGGCATCATAAGAGGACCTGTCTCGCTGGGCTGTTTGAAGATTAAGTGGGAATCTGGTTCCCAAACGCCCAGCCCCCAGCTCCCAACCCCTTCACCAGGGGACAAGGCCACTGTAGGCACAGGCAGGAGGAAGCTGTTTGCAAATCTGGCCTGGAAGTCACACCCTGGGACCAGGCACACATCTGATAAAGCAGACAGCTCCTCCTCTCAGGTCCTCTATTCCCCTGACCTCACTGACCCCGTCTGCCATGTGGTTGACCTTTAATGCAACAGACAACCAGGTCCTTGACACTCCCTGTGGGGTTTGTGAAGAAAGGAACCGAATCTGGCTCCCCAAAATAAGAGCCATGGGGCCCTGCAGGTTTCTTCAAGGCGGTGACTTGACCACTTCAACCTGGTTTAGAAGCACCAAGGGCTACTGACAAGAAGACCTTCTTGGTGGGGGGGGGGGGGGGGGGGAGGGGGGAATCTGTGACCCCCAATGCCAAGGCCAGACCCAGAACCCTTGGATTTTCTTAGACAGTCTGTGCCCCTCCCCAGCCCACTCCCTTCCAGACTACAGAAAGTGGCATGTCAGGGAGACCACAGAGCGCCTTCCATTATTTTTGGAATTAAGGCCCTAAGGAAGGTTCCTGAAGTCAGGCCCTCAGGCCCCAGGGCGATTTTCTGAGGCAGGGGCTCCCTGAACCCTCTACGACAAGGGTCAAAGTTCTCATATTTTCTGTGGATTTTGACATAGGAATGGGGCTCCTGCAGGAAAATTTTCTTACCAAAGCAGGACTAGGACCCTGAACGTGAATTTCCTGGGGGAACCTGGCCCAACTTCAGGTTCCACCGGGCTGCCCCCACGGTCCCGAGTCCCCACATTTTGTTGGTGTGTTGGAAAGGAGTATCTGCCAGCAGAAGCGAGTCCCGGAGCTCCAGGTGTGGATTTTCCCAGGAGCAGGGCAGCCCCGCCCTACAACTAGGTCACAGGGGTTGCTCTGCTATGGCAGGAACTGGGGTCTCCTCCACATTCCCGTGACCCTTTTTCAGGGGGCGTTGGCCCGCCAGACCCGCCTCCCCTAAATTCCAGCCTACGCCCCAGGCCCCCTGAAATCTCCAGCCACAGACTACGCGCAACTCCAGCCTCCCACCTCCCATCCTGACCCCTTGAATCCCTGGCCCCCTAATCCCCGGCCTCTCCAGCCCCTCAATCTCTCCCCTTTAATCCCCGGTCCTCAGATTTCTCGGCCCTTGCACCTCGTCCTCCAGCCCCCTCCCCAGCAACTCTCAGCCCCACGGAACTCTTTGGCCACCCCCACCCCATGGCTTCCAGCCCAGGCCCCCAGCGCCCCCGGCCCCTGCCTCCAGTCCCCCAATCCTGGATCCCCGCCCACCCCACCCTCCCAGATCCGGCCCCTGGACCCCTCCGGGGCCCCTCACCTGCGTAGAAGGCAGAGATGGCCACGGGCCCGCCGAGCGCCTGGTCGCACAGCACCTTGGCCAGGACGGTGCGCGGCGCGCGCCCAGGCAGCGCGCGCTCCAGCAGGCGCAGCCACACGTAGTTGAAGTTGCCGTGGAAGGCCACGGCCACCGTGGCCACGCGCCGCGTCTGCCGCCAGTCGGCCGGGCCGCCCCGCAGCCGCTGCTGCACCGCGTCGCCGGCCGAGAAGAGCGCGGAGTAGAGCAGCACGTTCGTGGGCCACGGGTAGCGCGAGGCCGCGCGCGGCAGCGCCCGCCACCAGCCCGCCATCCCCCGCCGCCCCGGCCGGGTCGCCCGGGCCAGCAGCGCGCCTCCTCCCGCCCCCTGCACCTGCCCCCTCCTGATGCTGGAGAGCGATTGGACGCCCCGCGCACCCCCCTGCCCTCGCCGGCCAATCCCGTGGCCTCTAGCCGTTGTGCGGGCTGCGCACTTAAATGTGGCTGGTCCACCTCATGCATGATGATATTTACAGGAAAAGTCCAGAATAGGCAAATCCACAGAGACAGAATGTAGACTAGGGGTTGCCAAGGGCTGAGCGATGGAGGGGTGCGAAGTAGCTGCTAACTGGGTATGGGGTTCTTTCGGGGGGGGGGGGTGATGAAAATGTTCTGTAATTAGTGGTGATGATGGCACGGAAAACCATTGAGTACGCTTTAAAATGGTGAATTTTATGGCATGTGAGTTATACTTCAAAGAAAGGTTAAAAAGTAGGGGAAAATAGAAAAAAAAACTCAGTTACCAAGATGGTGGTGTATTTTAAATGTTTACATGCAAGGAAGTCACATTTTCAACACACACAATACACTGGCGGTTGTGTAACTTTGCTTGGAGACAAATTCGAGAGTTAAAATTTGAGGCCGGCCCTGTGGCCCAGTGGTTAAGTTCACGCACTCTGCTTTGGCGGCTCAGGGTTTCGCTGGCTCGGATCCTGACCTAGGAGGGCTCATCAAGTTATGCTGAGGCGGCGTCCCACACGGCAGAACCAGAAGGACCTACAACTAGAATATACGACCAGGTACTGGGGGGCTTTGGGGAGAAGAATTTTTTAAAAAGATTGGCAACAGATGTTAGCTCAGGGCCAATCTGTAAAAAAAAAAAAAAACGAAGTTAAAATTTGAGGCCTTTCATGAATGTGGGGAGGAATCAGTGGGCTTATTGCCTTCTCCTCTTCAGAGTTTGTGACTCATTGAATATTGCCTGCCCAAACATACGCTGAGCTCCCAGGTATGTCCCGGAAGTGGAAGGGTGGGGGGTGGTCGGGTGTCATTGGTAACCCAAACAGCAGATATAATCCCTGACCTCAGTTCTTCCTTGCTTCTTTTCCTCCCTTTTTTTCCTTCCTTCACTGTCACATATACAACCCCATTCTCATTCTCTCTCTCACTTCTATTTCTTTCTTTTTTTTTTTTGTTTTGAGGAAGATTAGCCCTGAGCTAACTGCTGCCAATCCTCCTCTTTTTGCTGAGGAAGACTGGCCCTGAGCTAACATCCATGCCCATCTTCCTCTACTTTACATGTGGGGCGCCTACCACAGCATGGCTTTTGCCAAGGGGTGCCGTGTCCCACCCGGGATCCCAACCGGCAAACCCCAGGCCACGGAGAAGTGGAACGTGCGAACTTAACCGCTTTGCCACCAGGCCGGCCCCTCACTTCTATTTCTTTATCCTACTTTATTTCATTTTTAAATTTTAAATTTTTAACTTTTCATTTATAAATAATTCCAGACTTAGAAAAAAGTTGGAAAAGTAGTACAGAGTTCCCATCTACCCTTCACCCGAACTTCCGCAAATATTGACCTCTTACGTAATCATAGTACAATCACCAGAACAAGGAAATCATCGCTGGTGTAATACTATTACCTAATCTACAAACCTTATTCAAATTACTGCCAATTGTCCCACTAAAGTCGCCTTTCCGGTCTGACATCCAATCCTGGATCATGTTGCGTGGCATCGAATTGGCATATGTCACTTTAGTCTCCAGTCTGAGGCACTAACTGGTTATTTTACATTGTCTCAATTTGTCAACCTCGTTGTGATGGGCTGAATTGTGTCCCCTCAATATTAATGTCTTGAAGCCCTAACCCCCAGCACTTCAGAATGTGACTGTATTTGGAGATAGGGCCTTAAAAGAGGTGAAAATGAGGCCCGTTAGGGTGGCTGCTACTCCAATCGGACTGGTGTCCTTGTAAGAAGAAGAAATCTGGACACACAAAATGACAGCAGGCAGTGCATGCAGAGAGGAGAGACCATGCGAGGACACAACAAGAAGATGGCCATCTGCAGGCTGAGAGGAGAAGCCTCCGAAGAAATCAACCCAGCTGACACCTTGACCTTGGACTTCTAGCCTCCAGAACTGTGAGAAAATAAATTTGTTTTTTAACCTCCCTGGTCTGTGGTATTTTGTTCCCACAACGCTGGTAGACCAATACACCGTTCTCTTCAATTCTGGGGAATCTGCCAATTTCTGTGTTCTCTGACCCTTTCTATCTGCTCATATGCTGATTTCTATCCCGCCCCTCCCCTTGTTCTTGTTACTGGTCCCAGGCAGATCTTTCTGTCAGGTTTCTCCCAGCTAGGCAGTCTCCTAGCTCACCGAAACATCTTTCTTGATTTATTACTTATATCCCCCTTGTATTATTTTTCTACTGCTGCTGTCACAAGTTACCGCAAATTTAGTGGCTTAAAACAACACAGATTTGTTGTCCTTGAGTTTGGGAGGTCAGAAATCTACAATGGATCTGCAAGACTGCATTCCCTCTGGAGGCCGTGGAGGGAGATCCATTTCCTTGCCTTTTCTGGCTTCTAAGTCCCCTTGCATTCCTTGATGGCCCCACAGTCAGCAGTGTAGCATTTTGCAATCTCTCTCTCTGTCATTCCATTGTCACATCATCTTTTCTGACTCTGACCTGCCCGCCTCCCTCTTAGAAGGACCCTTGTGATTATATCCAGGCCACCTGGATAATCCAGAATCGTCTTCCCATCTCAAGATCCTTAACTTGGGGGTCATCTACAAAGTCCCTTTTGCCGTGTAAAATAACATATCCACAGGTTCTGGGCATTAAGACGTGGACATCTTCGGAGCGCCATTATTCAGCCTACGATACCCCTCTTTATCCCATCTTCCTTCTCTGTAGTCCTTTTGGTCTGGTCCAAGAGCAATGGATCATGTTAACTGAAATCTAAATATCTGTTTCTCAACACCTGCAGATCAGGACTCTGTTTGCCCGGGCACTCATGCATTCATTCATTCATTCAATTGATCAATATTCAGTGAGCACTATTACGTGCCAGGCACTAAACCGCTGTGGAAAGGATTTGCGTTTGCAATGCTTTAAAAAAAAAAAAAAAAGTGATTTCCACCTAAATTAGAAAAACTCGTGGTCTTTATTACACAAAAAAAGAAAGTTTCCCTAATGATTCCTACCCAATTCCCTTAAGCAAATTTTTTCGAGAGAAATGTAGAGCAAAACTGGAGAGTTGGGGCGAGAGGGTGGGGTAGGGGAGGGATCAGGGTTGCCAGGTCCAGTACAGGTCGCCCAGGTAACTGGGAATTTCAGATGGACAATGAATGATGTCCCAAATATAGCATGGGGATACTTACACCAAAATGATGAGTTCTCCACTAGGTGCCTAATCTGTTGACTCGTTTACTCCTGTCAATGCAAAATGACCAGTGACCATTCTACAGATGAGAGAAATAAGGTAAGTTTGACTTGAGCCAGAGTGAGGATTGTAACCCAGGAAGGCCTTTTCCAGAAAGGAAGAAAGTATTGTTCTGGAGAAGCATGGTTTTCAGTACAGTCATATCTTTTTAGAACGAGGAACATTCATTAAACACACCAGGGTGCTGGCCTCATGGCCGAGTGGTTGGGTTCGCATGCTCCACTTCAGCGGCCCAGGGTTCACCAGTTTGGATCTCGGACACGGACCTAGCACCGCTCATCAGGCCGTGCTGAGGCGGCGTCCCACATAGCACAACAAGAAGGACCTACAGCTAGACTATACAACTATGTACTGGGGGGCTTTTGGGAGAAAAAGCAAAAAGAGGAAGATTGGCAATGAATGTTAGCTCAGGGACAATGTTCAAAAAAAACGAAAGATGAGGGGCTGGCCCGGTGGCCGAGTGGTTAAGTTCGCGTGTTCTGCTGCAGGCGGCCCAGTGTTTCGTTGGTTCAAATCCTGGGCACGGACACGGCACTGCTCATCAAACCACGCTGAGGCAGCGTCCCACATGCCACAACTAGAAGGACCCACAACTAAGAATGTACAACTATGTACCGGGGGCTTTGGGGAGAAAAAGGAAAAAATAAAATCTTAAAAAAAAAAAAGAAAAGAAAGATGCTTAGAAAAATAAATAAAATGACAAAAAAATTAAAATAATAAAAACATTTAAAAAGTAAATAAACACACCTAGGATACAGTTTCAAAGTTTCAAAGAGGTATTTGGTTGCAAATTAACGGGTCAACATGACCCTGATGTCAGGAAAGAGACTAACACCAATAGGGTGTTACCAATAGGGTGGAGGAGGGGTCGTATGCGTTATCCTAAGAGAGTGCATTCTTTAATGGTTAAAGTGGATGTACAATGCATGTTTGATAGGCCATAGTCAGGATTTTTTAGTTCAAGATGAATCAGTTTTGGGTTTTTATTGTTGGGTTTTTTCTTGTTTTTTTTGCTGAGGAAGATTCACCCTGAGCTAATATCTGTTGCCAATCTTCCTCTTTTTGCTTGAGGAAGATTCACCCTGAGCCAACATCAGTGCCAGTCTTCCTCTTTTTTGTATGTGGGTCACTGCCACAGCACGGCCACTGATGAGTGGTGCACATTTGCACCCGGGAACCAAACCCAGGCCACTGAAGTGGAGGGTGCCAAAGTTAACAACTAGGCCATGGAGCAGCCTCCCTGAATCAGTTTTGAACTCAAATAATTACCTCATCGACCTTAATATGTGAAAATCTCTTGAGACTCCTCACAGAACCCCAATGAGGCGAGGGGTTGGTAACCATCCATAGGGGCATATATCCCCCGAAATCTATGGTGATCTTTATCAAGCAGCTCAATGTATAGACTTCACAGGAGTTGCAAGAGAAATGAATACTTGGAAGGCTTAGATGGTTTCACGTGTATTGCTGGATACTTGTCTCTTCTTGAGAGCAATAAAAAATTCAGTGAAGACAATCCATTACTCAAGCAAACGCTAAAGAATCCGCTTGGTCTTCAAACGAGAGATGCTCTGAGAGAAATTAATGCCTTACATTGACGCTTCATCAGCCACGCAAGCGGTGATTCGGGGGCC